CAACTCCATTGTATTGTGTTTTGATACGTTTTATAATGATTTTTCTGAATTCCTACTCAGGCATTTCCAAAGCCTGCCCATCTTCCAATATGGAGTGTAGGTCTCCTTCCAGCTCATTTTCCTCAGTCACTTTATCTCGTTTCTGAACATGTGCTGATATAGTCATCTGTTTCTGTTTTTTTGGGCATTTTCAGGAATTATCTGTGGCCTTAATACTTAGACAGGTGTGTATTTTGGTGTTTTTTATGCTTTCTGATTGTCTCCAAGTAGATGTGCTCAGGAGATGAGCTTCGCTTTTCACTCTTCTTCCTGAGAAATTTCAAGATGCCACTGTTGGTCATTGTGACGTAACTCAGGATTTAATTTTCAGCCTGTTTCCTTTTTAGTCTGCCTGTCCTGCTCCACAATCCCCATTCAGGCCTTTTTCCTAGTGATACACAGTTCAGGGCCAACTGTGGCCATTTTGCACTGCTGTTTGATTTTATGTGAAAACTGTCCCTTTAAATTTTGACAAGATCCGTTCACATGCATAGTGGAACCCTACAGGGGTGGAGGTGGGGTGTGCATTTGAGTCAGGCCCCCTTCTAGTCACCAGAATGGAGGTGTGCAGACATCGAGAGACCAATGAACAGATACCAAAAAAGGAATGTGTACTCCTTTATCTCCGTGGTTCTGTCAGGCATATGTGGCTGCTCTGATCCTTCCATAACTTGGTCTTTCCCAAGATGGCAGCTCCGGGAGCAGCTGAGCATCTTGAATTAGAAAGCAATGGATTTCTAGCTTCTGCTACAAATTCCCCTAGCTATAAGCCTTACAACCTTCTTAATATTCCTTTATATGTGGTTTAAAGTTTTGGCACCATCCCCTGAGCCTTCTTGGTCCGGCATTCTGTGTTGTTGCTAACAGAGCTCCTCACTGCACTTCCACCCGATCCGCCATATTGTTTGTTCTCAATATAGCCTTTCTTGCTGGAAGCAAAAAGGACATGAAATATTTTCTGATAAAAATCCAAAATCCTCAGTATGGAAGATGAAATACCTACTGCAGCCTTCAGTGTGGATTGTATCTCAATGTAAACAAAACAACAATCCTTATAAATATACAAATAACATCATGACAGAAGAAAAATTGAAGTTATCAAAGGCTTCATTTTGCTTAGTTTCACAATCAACTAATGGAAATATCAGTCAAAAATTATCTATACTCTGGCTGTAGAATTTATTTTAATCAACTTTTAGAAAAGACAAATAAATCATTTTTCAGTCTAATCTCCTTGATTTTCAATACACTTTGTCCTTCAACCTACATACTTTCATATCCCCTTATTAAAAAATGCTTTAGGCTGAGCTGTGAGTCACAAATGCACTGACGTTTGGGCTTCAGCTTTTCAGTGAGCACCTCACTGTAATGAGCAGACCTTTTTCCTGAGAGTATTCTGAGAAGCCTAGAAAACTGTAAGCATCAATTTTCCCGCTGATGAGTGCCTTTTGTACTTTTTCTTGGTGGTGACTGAGGATCTTTCCATTCCATACTCTGCCGTTTACTCTCAGGTTCATGGTGATGAGTGCAAATCTTGTCATCAGTGCCATTTTTTTTTTTTTTTAAAGAAAGTCTTGACCTTCCTTTGAGTATCGGTCCAAATTCTGTTTGCAGATGTCCAAATGCTTCTGTTTATGTTCTTCTGTGAGTAGTTTTGGTACCCATCTTGCACAAACTTTTTGAAACCTTTGTGTCGTGGATTATTTCATAGGCAGATTTGAAAATGATTTGTCGCAGAATCTGCTGTCACTCGTCTGTTTGACAGAATCATTCCAAGCACAACTCAGTTTTGTCATCAGCTCTGGACATAGCAGGGCATGTTAATATAACTGGAGTGCGGATAATTTTTGACTCATTCTTGTATATATTGTATTAGGCTGCAAAAAAACCTTCTGTGAAGTGTTCAGGTGCCAAGATGGCCATCTAAGGACTAAGCAGCACCTGACCCAAGCTCTGGTTTTCTGTTGTGTCATATGCATGTGAAAGTTCAACAGTCATTAAAGAAGGCTATAGAAGAATTTGATGTACTTTTTAAAATATATTTTTATTTTGGTATTGGTGAGGAATAATGAAAGTACTCCCAAAATAGGCATATTGGACTACCCAAAGAGCAAGTAAATTTATCTGGGAAATGCATCTGTGTTGGAAGAAGTGCAGCCAGAATGCTCCTTGGAGGCCAGGATGGCCAAATCATCTCTTTTATACTTTAGGCATATTGTCCGAAGGGACCAGTCACTGGAGAAGGATATCATATTTGGTAAGGTAAAGGATCAGAGAAAAAGAGGAAGACCCCCAACGAGATGGATTGGCCAAGTGGCATCATCAATGGGTTCAAGCATGGCAACAGTTGTGAGGTTGGCCCAGGATCGGGCAGTATTTCGTTCTGCTGTGCATAAGGTCACTGTGTGTCGGTATTTACTCGATGGCTCCTAACAGCAGGAACAAGTACAGCCACAATGTTTCTTAGAAGCCAGGATGGCAAGCTTTCGTCTCTTGGTCGTTGGGCATGTTGTCAGTTGGGATCGATCCCTGGAGAAAGACATCATGCTTGGAAAAGTGGAGAGTCAGTGAAAAAGAGGAAGACCCGAGAAGGTAGCTTGAGACAGTGGCGGCAACAGTGGGATCAAACATAACGCCAGTTGTAAGAATGATCAGTACTTGGTGCTAAAGTGCTCTCTTGGGCATAGGGTCACTGTGAGTTGGAATGACAACAGCAGACTATCTAAAGGCTTTACTGTTTCTCTATCTGGGATTGTACTTTTTGGAGAGAATCTTGTTTGGGGCCTGATAAATTATTAGAAAACATGTGGCAATATATCTCATGCTGTTGATTGATGTAAAAGTATCACTGAACTGCATGGTGTCTCGGTATCTAATGTTAGTTTAGCTTTTTATTTTCTTAAACTTTTTATTGTGACTTGAGTGGACGTTTACAGAGCAGATCATGAGCATATCGGATACTTCGCTTCATCACAATGACTACACTCCCCTCCAGATACCATCAAGTAACAGTATTTACAGCTATTCACGTTGCCTGTACATTCTGCTTTTGCTTATTTTGAGTATTTCTATTATAAAGCATGGAGTCCTGGTGTGGTGCTACAGGATAATGTGCTGCACTGCAGGGTCAGTTTGAATGACAAGGTTGGCAGTTCAAACCCACCAGCCACTCCTTGGAAACCCTATACAGGGTTGCTATGGGTTGGAACCAACTTGATGGCATTAACAGCAACAAAGTTATAATTTTCCAGAGAAAATTATTCCATTTTGGCTACAAGACAAAAACTAGTAGAATTTTTCATAGAAATGAAAATCTATAATTTATATATATATATAGAGAGAGAGAGAGAGAGAGACTGCAAAGCCGTTTGAACTGTAAGGTCGGTGGTTCAAGCTCACCAGCTTCTCCTTGGAAACCCTATACAGGGTCACTGTGGGTCAGAACTGATGGCATTTAACAACAGCAACATATATATATTCTCATTTACTTGTTATAACATGCCAAAGACATTTCTTTGGGAGATGTGTTTAATATGTTTATGTCCAGCGGTAGTTTTTAAATGTGCCAATACCAGACTGAAATATTTACAGAGCCAGTCAGCTAGCGCTGAGTACTGCTGTCCTTTTAAATAGGTCATTTGCTCTTCAAGTTTACCAAGATTTCCCCACCAGGCCACCGTCCCTCCTTCATGCTCGGTCACCTGCCAGGTTTTGGAGGCATTGAGTTTGTCACCTCAAACGGCACTAGGACTCTTTGACGGGACTGGACAAAGAAACTGAGTTTCAGCACCTTTTAGTAATGTTGTCTTCGGTTTTCCTAATGGGAAAAATGATGTATATATTTTTTTTAAACTACATGGATCTCAATTTAAACTTAAATTCACATAATTGGTGTTTCTTGGCATTCTTGCTCTACGGATGGCACTGTGATGAAATATCTCTTCCACCTCTTGGGGTTTAGACATAAAACTATAATACGTTCTGAGATATTGCAGCTTGTTTTCATGATAATGTTTGGTTCTATAATGACGGAATCTCCTAAGCTTCAAGGGAAAATGAAAATATTTCAGATCTTATGAGGACTTTAAATAGATGGACTGTTTTAACCACTGAGGGGGGTGGATACAAGCTTAAGTAGCTTCTTCTAAGTTAAGAATGATCTATTTATTGGTAGACTTGCAAGTCTGTTTGATAGATGCAAAGAATTTAGAGCAGAGCGTTTCCCAATAACAGAGCGGTGTAGTTGAAATAGGAGCACAGGTGTCTGTCTCATCAATCATCTCGTTCGTTTGAGAGTTTTATGAAGATAAAAACACCACTTTCTTTGTTCTCATAGGCATTCAGCTCAGTGAATACTTACCAGAGGCGAAGGACCTACTACAAGCAGATCAACTTGGAAGCTTAAAAGCCAATCCCTACTTTGAGTTTGTTTTAAAAGCAAATTATGAATATTATGTCCAGGGACAAATGTAAATTTTTCTAAAACTATCGTTGTCTCTGAAGATTGTATGAGAGTATAGTAATATAAAATTTAGGTCTTAAACATCTAGAAGTTTGTACTTTCATAGCAACTTAGTGGTTGACTTTTTTACTTTAAAAAAATAAAATGTAGTTTTATGACTGGTTTTGAGTTCATACTTTTTTCCCCCTCTGATTTTCCACTTGGAATTTATCAGTTGCTTTTTTTGTCCTTGCTGACCTTTCCTTTCAGGGTCATGTCATCAGCAGTTCTGGGGTCCCTGTCCTGGCTCTCCCTATAGGTTGTTTGAGCCGAGGCATTGGGTTCTGGCAACTCTAGAAATAACAATATTTCACTAGTGTGTCTCTGAAATCTCTGTAATACAGCCAAGAGAATTGGGGTGTTGGGTGTATGTTTTGGGTAGGGACGGAAAGAAGATAAATGTCAAAGTTTGCTGACTTAGGGGAGCAAAAGACAAAACTAGGCTTGATTCCTGAGAATTTGATACTTGGTTCATTCATTGTGACCTTGTTACCTTTTCTGTGTAAATAACAAATGACAGTTAATAAAAGCATTGTAATGAGTATTGTGGATGATAAGCTCACAGTAGGTTTGTGTGCATTGGGCACTCGGTCGGCTTTGTATCTGCAGGATGATCTACGCTGAATTCCACTGTTACTACAGGCAGCCTTGTCATAAAGCAATCATAACAACTCATTGACTTGAAAACTAATGGTTCTTTAAAAGCTTTGCCCCTGACCAATGTCCTCAGACAAATTTTATCTGGCTTTAAATAAGAACGAGAGAGTGGACAAGGAATTGCTGACATCTCCATACTGTGGCCCAGCTGAATGCTCACAGAGCAGCTTGACCCAACAGCTGAAAAGGTCATAAGTTAAGTATGGTGAAGAGTGTTCAGTTCTTGGTTTTAAAAAGTGCAGTCATCTTGCCGGTTCCCTCAGGGTATAGTGGGCCCTTGAGCATGTGAGGAGGACTGGATCTGGGGGGCTATTTGTGCTAATCAACAATCCTTTCTCTCTTTACAGCTTGTGTTAGGAATATATTAAAGAGCACAGAGAAAAGTTAGGAAGCGTAGCTAGTCAGATGGCTAGTAATAAAATATTGAATCCATGTAATTGTAAGACGTGGCTTTAATGTTACATAGATGTCAGCTGTCAGTTCCTGTCAGGTAACAACTTGCACGAGGAACACACACGCTCCTGCCACCATTCACACACCACCACAAACCTTACTCCTAGTGTGGCAGGACAGTACCAAAGGGAAGCCAATCTGATAATGGCCTGACTCTGCCAACTGAATGTAAAACTCCCCCCCGCACCCCCAGGATGACATGTTAGGGGCCGCCGAGTCACTTCCAACTCTTAGTGATTTTATGCACAACAGAACAAAACACTGCCTAGTCCTGTGCCAACCTCATAGTCCTTGTTACCTTGAGCCCACTGCTAATGCCTCCAGTGTACCAATCCATCTCGTTGGGGGTCTTCCTCTTTTTTGCTGACCCTGCTTTTAACAAGCATGATGTCCTACGCCAGGGACTGATCCCTCCTGATAATATTTCTGAAGTGTGAGGGACGAAGTCTCATTATCCTGGCTTCTAAGGAGCATTTTGACTGTATTTCTTCCAACACAGATTTGGTTGTGTTTTTGGCAGTCCCTGGTACTTTTCAATATTCACCTCCTACACCATAACTCAAATGCATCAATTCTTGTCTGGCCTTCCTTACTCATTGTCCAACTTCCACATGTATATCAGACTATTTTCATTCCAGGGTTTGGGTCAGGCACAACTTAGTCCTCAGACTGACATCTTTGCTCTTTGAACACTTTGTAAAAGAAGTCTTATGTTCTTACGTAGCAGATTTGCCAAGAAACCATTTGATTTCTTGACTGCTGATTCCATGAGTGTTGATAGTGGATCCAAGCAAAATGAAGTCTTGTATAACTTCATTCTTTTCTCCATTTATCATTATGTTATATATTGGCCCAGTGGTGAGGATTTTTGTTTTCTTTACATTGAGGTGCAACCCATACTGAAGACTGGTCTCTGATCTTCATCAGTAAGTATTTTAAGTTCTCTTACAGTAAACAAGGTTGTATTATCTGCCTATCACAGGTGGTTAATGAACCTTCTTCTAATCCTTATGACAAGTTCTTCACATTGTCTAGCTTCATGGATTATTACTCAGCATACAGACTGAACAACTATGGCGCACAGCTTACCTGATTTTAAACCATTCAGTGTCCCCTTGTTCGGTTAAAATGACTGCATCTTAGTCTGTGTATAGATTCCTCATGAGCACCACTCATCTGTAAGTTTGTTGGACTGTGGTAGCTTGTGTGTTGCTGGAAGCTGTACCACCAGTATTTTAAATACCAGCAGGATTACCCATGGTGGGCAGGTTTCAGCTGAGCCTCCAGACTAACAGACTAAGAAGGAGAGACAGACCACTTCTGAATATTTAGTCACTGGAAACCTTCTGGATAGCAGTGGAGCGTTGTCAGCACCAGACTATGAACTATGGAAACATGATGGAGAGCACCAAAATATTGTCAGATACCGTGCTGGAAGATGAGCCCCTCACTCAGATTGGAAGGCACTCAGAGTACGACTGGGGAAGACCCGCCTCCTCCAAGTAGAGGTGACCGTGATGACGCAAATGGAGTAAAGCTATTGGGATAGTATGACTTGTGAGGAGCACACTGCTTACTGTTACAGCTCTCTCTCTGTCTGTCTCTCTGTCTCTTTCTATCTGTCTCTCTCGGTGGTGCTTGTGGGCCACTGAGCTGGTGGTGACTCCTAGTGGCCCCATACAGGATTTCTGAGGCTGTCAATCTTTACAGGAGCAGAATGCCTCATCTCTCTCTTATAGAGCAGCTGGTAGATTTGAACGGCTGACCTTACAGTTAGCAGTCCCGCTTGCAATCCACTATACCACCAGAACGAGTCAGTAAATAAAGATCCAGAATTGTTGGGTTTTTAGGAAAAATTTTACAGTAAAAATAAAATTAAGGTCTAAGATTTTTAATACCTTTTCTCCTAAATTTGTACACCTGGACCAATAAGTAACCTCATGATAAATAGTGACAAGATTGAAGTTGCTGAAAACCTCATTTTGCTCAGATCCACAATCAACTCTCATGAAACAGCAGTCAAGAAATCAGACATACTGAGTTTGGCAAATCTGCTGCCAAAGACCTCTTTAAAGAGATAAAGAACAAAGGTGTAACTTGGATGACTAAGGAACTCCTGACCCAAGCCATGGAAGAATCGACGTATTTGAGTTACGATGTTGGAGAAGAATATTGCAAATACACGGACTACCAGAAGAGCAAACAGATCTGTGTTGGAGGAAATGCCACCAGAACGTTCCTTAGAAGCAAGCATGGTAAGACATCGTCTCTCATATTTAGACATGTCATCCGGAGGGACCAGTGCTTGGAGAAGGACATCATTCTTGATAAAGTGGAGGCTCAGGGAAAAAGAGGAAGACCCCCAGTGAGATGGCGTGACAGTGGGAGCAGCAGTGGGCTCAAACAAAATTGTGAGAATGGCACCGACCAGGTGGTGTTTCTTTCGATTGTGTATAGTAGGGTCGTTATGAGTCGGAACCAATTCGACAACAACAAACATTTATAGCCTTGATTCCCCAGCAGTCTTTGGAAAGAATGATTGGTAGTAGTTGTGTATAGTGAGTGATTATAAAGGTGCTGTATAGCCATGTTCAATTGAGGGCTGATCTCTGAGGAGGGGAAGCTTTATTGACCTGGAAAACGTGGTCATTCCTGCCTTTCAATGCTGCTTGGAAAATTACAGCTTGGGGCTTCAACTAAACAATTTATTAAGAGTGTGCTCTGATATTAAGTCGAGGAAAATGGGCAGCTGGCATCAGCTATTGCTGTTTTGAGAATTTGTGAATGTGTCAAGGAATAAGGCGGACCTTGAAAGACCTAGAGAAATCCTTAGAGACGTAAAACCTTGTTTTAGCAAAAGAGTTTTTGAGGACAGCTTTTGAAAATTGGACTGAATTTCTATTTTTACTTCAGTGTCTGATTCAGCTTTTATGAAAAGTCATCTGCCAGGCTTACTGGGGACTGTTAGTAGGAATCGGGGTGAAACAATTTCCCTTTGAGACAGAAAGCTTTCTCCATTAACCGGAAAGGAAAGGAAAGCCGCACCATAGTGGATGGTGTATAGACTGTGTTGGAATTCAACTCACTTGTCCACAGTGACGCGGATAACTACAGAAATCCTGGTAAGCCTCCATGTCCTTATTCCTAGACATTTTATCCTGAATGCTCAAAGAGAAGCTAACTGTATATCCCTGTGTGAAAAGCCCACTCATTAAATACCAAGGTACATTTTTAAATAGTGATTTTTAAATTTAAAAAAAGATTCTAGAAAATGTCTAACCTTAGAAAAATATGGAGAAGAAAGTAAACCTCTGTAATCCCACTAGCCAGAAAAAACTTCAGTTTTTTAAAATACATTTTAGAACATTTGGGACCGCACATACTGTTTTATTTGTAATGTACGTTTTTCATGTGGAGTATTGTGAGCATTTCTCTGCATCTTAGACCAGTGATTCTCAACCTTTTTTTATCCCCTTTCATTATAATTCCTAAGAACCCTTTTTAGATAGTTTTTTTTTTCTAATCATTCCACCCCAATAAAATTTTAAAACCACAAACATTACTTTTTTTTTTTTTTTTAATGTACTGTGTCTTTTGAAGGGCACTAGTATCTTAAGATTTTTGTCCATCCCTTAAAAACCATTTTTTGCCACCTTGGGAGCAATATCTTTTAAGAATTTTGCCTGCGAAAGTAAAGTTAAAAAATAAAACTAAAAACAGCAAATGCTGGCAAGAGTGTGGAGAGACTGGGACCCTCCTACGTTGCTGGTGGGACTGTAAAATGGTTCAGCCACCATGGAAAATGGTATGATGCTTACTCAGAAAGTTGGAAATAGAAATACCTTATGGCCCAGCAATCCAC